ATCAGTTGAGAATGAGCCAGACTTCGAATGGTCTTTGTGAAGAATGTCCTGGAATCTACTGAAGAGAACCAAAGGATTGCCAGGCAAGGTGACAGATATTTGAGTACTTAAAATACAGATTAAACGAGGTTGTGAGTTAGATTCCCAGTACCAAAAAACAAAACAAAACAAAAACCCCCAAAACAAATTAAAGCTGGGTGTGGTGGAATATGCCTATGATTCCAACTATTAGGGAGGCTGAGACAGGATGATCATTTGAGCCTAGGAGTTTGGGGCCAGCTTGGGCAACATGGAAGGACTCTGTGTCTTCACCCCCACTAAAGCCCCCAGAAATCAAAACAAGAAAAAAACGGCAAAGATGAAATTCCAAAACACAAAATATAGTACACTTATTTTAGAGGTAGCAGTGGTTAACCACTGGGGGTTTTGATAACAGTGGTTTGGAGAACAGGTTTGAAAAGATAAGGCCTTGTGGCAGTGCCACACAGTTGTTCTCCGGCACCAAGGACAAGTGCAGTAAATTGCTCTACAATAGCTGTCTGCAGCCTTTTTAGCACCAGGGATCAGTTTGGTGGAAGACATGGTTTTGGGATGATTCAAGTACATTATATATTTATTGGGTATTTTATTTCTATCAGCATTACACTGTGTTATGTAATGAAATAATTATACAACTCACCATAAAACAGAATCAGTGCAAGCCCCGAGCTTGTTTTCCTGCAACTAGATGTCACATCTAGGGGTCATGGAAGACAGTGCCACCCGAAGTGTGTAGCTTATGTCCAGTTTACTCTGTTAGCTCATTTTGGTTACTGTCTCTGTAGAAAACCCTGCTTCACAAAGATAAAATGTTGGGAATGGAAACAGGCTTTTCAGTGCTTTTGTGGCAATCTCACGATAACCTGCTTTGACTTTAATTCAGAATTTATAGAGATTTGAAGTTGTCTCAAACATACTTTTAAGGTCACCATCATTTGCAATCACAAGCAGTTGATCCTTTCCTGGGGCAGACAAAGTCGGTTTATTTGGCTTATTCAGGCAGGCCCTTGTGCCATTGAGCTATATCCCTGGCCCATTTGGCTTATTCAGAAATAGGTTGTGGATCCATTCCTTCCCAATTCTGGGGTCTTTTGTTGTTTGGGGAGTACTGCTCAAGCTCTTTTAATGCCAAGATATGTGATCCTGCACCAGCTGGGAGAAAGAAGACTCCATCTCAATTTTTCAAAATCTCTGCCAGTGTTTGAAAAATGTCAGAAGCCTTAGTGATCACTCATTGCACCCATAATGCCAATTTGGCTTTGAATATAGCCACCTTTGCTGCTGACTTGAACACACTTTTCATTCTCCCCTGAAGTGACAAATTGAGCCTGTTGGGTGGGTTGAATATGTTACATGCATAAGCAAGTGTATTGACTCATTTTGTGTCACTGAAATGTGCTGCCAGTGGTGACTGTTTTTCTAAAAGAAATCTCTGGAGTGATTCTCGTAACTCAGAAACTCTGGCCAGTTATTCACCTGTAGAAAGCTGTGGTGTTGGCTGGCAATAAAAGTGCACATAACCTCATGCACATCCTCTTGAAAAATATATTGAACAAAAACAAGCACTGTTTCGTCATGAGTACTGATAGATTTTTAAACCTGGATTGTATATCATGGTGACTCAATCGTCTCTAGCATTTGTGCCTCAATATTTGCTGTTATTTCATTAGTTTGTCTAGTTATAGTGCTCTCTGAATAGAGGAACATGGGCCACCTTTTGAACTGCAGCTTCTCCTGAAAGTTCGCAACACATCCCCTTAGCAGCAGACAGGATCAGTTCTTCACCAACCTAAAGGGCTTTTTAGTTTTAACCATACAACTAGCCAGAAAGAATGATGCTCTGAGTACAGACACATTTGATGAAGTAGAGATCGTCAATAATTGCATCTTTTAATTGTTTTTTTCTTTTGAGAAACTCCAAAGGTTGTCTTTTAATGCAGGTGCTTGATCTTCCTGTGATAAAGTAGTTTTAAAGGTTTTATACCTTGATTATACAGCTAGTCACCACATACACAAAGCAGGCTTGGAGAACTTGAATCACCTGCTGCAATGAATCTGTACTTTAAATAGAATTCTTGGTGTTTTCTTTTATATGCAGCTTTCTTTTGGTTGGCAGTCTTAGAGTCTGCTATCTTGTCATAGGGCCTTTCCCCCTTTTCAAGAAAACTATCCAGTGATATTTACATTTTAATCATTTTGGCCAGTTAGCGTATGAGCTTACCCAAACTGTGACTGAGAAGCATGCAGCGGGGGAAAGAGGTGTGGACAGAAGTGGTAAATAAAATAGTGAGTGTGCCAAGTGTGGATTGGAATAAGTGTTGGATTCTGATTTATAGTCTGCCACCAGATGCAGCTGTACAGTTGAAGTATATCAACTCACAGGCCACTATAAAGCCTGCCATCAGATACAGCCTAATTCTCACTTGCCAGTCACTCATAGGGTTTTGATATGAGTCTGCAACAATTGATTTATTATGTCTCTGTGCAGCCAAACCTCTCTGCTAATATTAATCTGTATTTGCAACCACTCCCTAGTGCTAGCATCACAGCCTCAGCTCCACCTCAGATCATATAAGGAGCAAGCAGTTTAGATCCCTGTCATGGACAGTTCATAGTAGGGTTTGCACTTCTATGAGAATCTAATGCCACTGCTGCTCTGACAGGAGTGGAGCTCAGGCTGTAATGTGAGTGATGGGAGTGGCTGTCAATACACATGAAGTTTTGATCACTCACTCTTCACTCATTATGGCCTGGTTTCCATATATAAAATATTTTGTTCTTAAATTACACAAATTTTCAGAAATGAAGGCATCTACTAGGATTAGATAATGAATATTTATATCTATGTTTACATAAATGCTAAGCCATTTTTCTTCAAATATGATAGTTTAGACAGCCACAAAGGTTTTTTTTTTTGTGTATATGTTTTTATTTTTAAAAAGTTAGCGCCGGGTATGGTGGTGCACGCCTGTAAGCCCAGCACTCGGGAGGCTGAGGCAGGAAGATCGTTGCAAGTTCGAGGGCAGCCTGGGCTGCAAAGTGAGCTCAAGGCCAGCCTGAACTGCATAGCGAGACCCTGTCTCAAAAAGACAAAAAAAAAAGTTAAGTTCTTTGAAAAGCCCAACAAACAGGCTGCATGTTAGCAGCTCAGAAGACCAGCAGAATGGAATTTTAGCATCATTGTTTCTCATTACATGGATACAGTCAATGACTTTATCAAAGGTTATTAATTATTAATTAACAAGTTCAATCACTCTCATACAGAAAATAATATACCCTAGTTTGTCTCCTATGCCCATTGACTTTTCTAGGATTAAGAGAAATACCAGCTTCTGCATAAAGAAATCTCAAGCTATGGTTTGCATCCCTGATTTCTCTTTACTCCTATTGCATGTAAAGTCAGGGCCACCTTCAGTTTGGTGGGTGAGAGACAGGCACAAAGAAGGGTTTTGAGAAACAATTGTGCTTGAGCTGAGGCATGGAGGGAGAGCAGATATGAGAGATGGGAGCTAAGAGCACCTTGGGATGGCATAAGGCTCACTGCAGAAGTCATGGAGGCATGGAGTTAGCCATCTTCAGGGAGCAGTGTCTTGATCAAGCCATTTGGCTAGCAGACAGTGTGCAGAGGGAGTATCAACTCCACAATTGGAAGCATAGCTTCAACCAATTGTCCAGGCTGTGGGAGGCCAGTCTTAAGATTAGCTGAGACTTTGATGAGGAAATCACCTGTGGAGAGGTAGAAACTAAAAATTCAATAGGGTTGTTTGCTGGAATGAGATTCTAGAAGGGAAGGAAATAAAGAGATATAGTAGAAAGGCAGATAAAGTCAGAAGGGAAGTGAGGAGGAGTTAAAACGTATGGGGGCACAATTTACTTGAAAAGTCAAGCAAGTAATGTTTTGTAGTTGATAAAAGAATGCCTCCTGATATTTAGAAATACAAAAATTGTTTTAAATATATCTACTCTCTTAGAGGTTTTTTTTGTCAGAGTTCCTATTTTTCCTTAGCCATATTCCTTTTACATTTTTGTTAAAAGAATAAATGAATAGCATATGCTTAAAGAAATTAGGTACACATTAGGCACTGAAATAATTTCAAATAATTTTTCTTTTAGCTGTATTGCTATTATGTAATAAGAATACATTTTGATTCAGAACTTTTATGAAGAATTTGTACATTTTATTACAACATCTGTTTCTACATTTTAATTTCTCTCCTTTTATAGGTATTTGCATACTTTTTTTTTTCCAAATGAGAAGACCTTTTGTTTGCCACAAGAAGGCTATTATCCAGAATGTTAATGGGTTTTCAGCTATTAAGATGTAATGATATACCTTGAGTATTTAACTATAAATTTGAAAAATCTCCATGAACAATCTCAAAGGAATACTTAGAATGCACTCCTGGTAAATTGGCTCATTTTCCTGTAATTTACTGGAAGTGCTGATATGAGAGCAGTCCTAATGTGAAAGTACATTAATCCCTGGAGTTACATTGTATGTATTAAATTATTACTCTCAAAGAATAAAATGTATGAGGCCATTTAGCCCTCATTCACACTTGTTACTTAGAATCACAGTAGAGAAACAATCACTTATCTTTTGATGCACAAAATTAGAAATGATACATTTAATATCTTTTAAAACAAGAGGCACAGTGATTCTCAGTTACGATTTTGCATAACAATTGGTCTTTTCCAAAACAAGGACTGTTCTAGTTAGGAACTTGATTCTTCTGCCTTTGTGGAGGCCCATTTCATTCCACTGGTAATTGAAATATTTTTAGAAACCCCATAATGCAGCTTTCTTTCATGTCAGTCAGGAAGATTAGTCTGCCTTCTAGCCATGAGAATCTACGACAATGGGGTTTTATAAGGATGGTAGTCAACCTGCAGGAGCAGCAGACTGCAGGAGCATTTAGGGCCTTTGGAATTTACCTAATTGTGCTTTTCTTCTTTGGCAGGTGACTGAAAATTGTGAAACACAACTTGTGACATCAGTTTTTTTTTTTTCTTGTTAGTAGCCACTTATGATTGTGGAAGATTAAGGCAGAGACAAAGCCACATCTGAGATTTTAGCAAAGCTTTTCAAAAGCAAACTACACCATGGAGATAAAGCTGGACCCTTCCCGAGATGATCTGCCTCTCATGGCCAACACCAGCCACATACTTGTGAAGCATTATGTACTGGATTTAGATGTGGATTTTGAAAGTCACGTCTTTGAGGGCACCATAGTGCTTTTTTGTGAGGATGGAAACAGATTCAAGAAACAGACCAGCTCTACGAAGGAAACCTACCAGTTGGCATCGAACAAAGCCTGCAAATTTGGGACACCTGAATTCTGCCATCTTCCTATGACAAATGCAAGTACCACATTTAATGTGGAATATAATGATTTTATAATCTATGATAAAGGTGAAGAAGATGCTTCTGATAAAGAGGGTAACCATGACAACCAGGAACAGGCATCTGGGATCTCTAGCTCAAAGTACTGCTGTGACACACAGAATCATGGGAGAGAGGATTTTTTGCTAGTGTTGGACTGCTGTGATTTATCTGTGTTAAAGGTTGAGGAGGTGGATGTTGCTGCTGTGCCAGGTATTGAAAAATTTACAAGGCCTTCCAAGCCGACAATTGTTTCTGAAGAGCTCAGGAATGAGATTGTTCATGAACTTGTGACTCTGCCTGCAGATCATTGGAGGGAGCAGTTAGACTATTTTGCTCGCTGCAGCCAGGCTCCTAGCTGCGGGGAACTCTTCTTTGACACTGACACTTGGAGCTTACAGATCAGGAAGACAGGGGCTCAAACAGCTACTGACTTCCCTCATGCCATCAGGATATGTTACAAAACCAAACCCGAGGGGCAGTCCGTTACCTGGACCTCAGACCAGAGTGGCAGGTAGGTTATCCCAGCACTCTGCAGCCTTGCTAATCTCAGACATCTCCAGGATGTTCTTAGACAAGTGACCAAGTCTGCAGAAATGCTTCTGTTTATTCTCTGGTATTACCCTTATATCCTGAGACCCACAGAGAAGCAGGTAAATTCTTAGGCATGCTGAACTTTTAATAGGATTGCCTCCTGTAAGTCAAGATGAAAAGACTATTAAATACTCCTACCTCTGAGTGAAGAGATTGAAAGGTAAGCTTAGTGATGGAATCCTGAGCCTGCCTCTTGGTTGAGATCATAGCTAGTGACTTTCCCTGCTGTCAGTGGAGTGTAACGGGGGCAAGTACTTCTCACAATTCCAGTACAACTTAGAGAACAGACTGCTGTGAAGTTGGATGGGTGTGAAGCCAGGCAAACTGCTTTCAAATAAAGCCAGCTCTGCTTTGTGATATTCTTACTGTATCTATCTTGGCAGCTTTGCCTTTGGACTTCCTTAGTTGTTGCATGATGTGAACCACCAGAGCAAACTGAAAGATTTCTGAGGCATGAAACAGCCCTGCTAAGGCTGCCTGCTCACCTCTTTGGCCATGATTGTTGGTATTTTGTACCAGGAAAACTCCTAGTTCTGGTGCAGAGAGAAGAAATTGATGAGGCATGGTGTTCCTGGGGATGTATTTAGGTAGTCATTTGGCCTTTTCTTATTGTCCTTCCCCCAACTGTTGTCCAGTTTATTTTGGGATTTGAGAAATTCTAAACTTTATTGATTCCTTGTTATTTGATCTATTTCTTTATGCTAATGTCCTATAAATCATTATGATAACCATTGTAGAGTTTGGATGGAGGAATGTTGAGCTTTGTTAATTGTGTCTGAGAGCCTTGTTTTTATAGCACTGGAACCCTTTAATTAAAGCAGTTGTCTCCTGGAATTGCTTATCTCTTCCTCAACGCACCCCTCAAAAACCTTGTAGTATTTATTTATTTATTTGAGTCCTATTTATCCCAGTATTTGCCTCTCATATTACCTCCTGCTCTTGTCTCCAGCCTGCTCAAAAAGAGTTCACTTCCTGTCTAGGTAGCTAGAGTCTGAGGCAGCCTTTGGGAAACTACAAGATTGGTACAAACTTATGTCAGTACAAAAGCACAGTAATTTATTTATGGAGTAACTTACTGGATGTTTCCTGGAGACAGAGGGAAAGAAATAATCATTCTTATGGTATCTTCAGATTTTTAAAAATTAGCAAGAATGGGATTTTCAATAAGATTTAATAAGGTAGTACACTACCTCAGAATATTTAACTAGGGAATTAGAGGTTTTAATATTCTAGAGATTGCATTTTTAAACTAGAATAATGAGGGAAAAGAAACTATTGACAGTATTTAGAAGAACTAAATATGATTTTCTCTCCTAAATGCTTAGTACGAAGACAGGCATTAGACTTTTGAATTAAATTGCATGCAAAAGTGCTGAGTAGGAACAATTTATAGATAAACGCTGGTTTCCATAAAGAATTGAAAGAGGCTTGGGTCCATTTCATTCCTCCAAAGGCTGACATGGTGAATGTACTTTTGATGTCTCCTTTTCTGGTGATTCTATGAAATGAATGATCATAGCAGAAGTTTACACTATATTCTTGGAAGTTTGCGATTATATGTTAGTATATTATGGTCATTTATGCAGTCTTACAAGGATAAGAAATGTTAATGTAACAAAGAAAATCATACAAAGATTTTTTTTTCTTTTTGGGGGGGAGAATTTTCTTATAGTCAAGATAATTTTACATGAGTGGTCAACTCTCTCTAAAGTCTCTTGTGAACTTAAGAATAAATATAAGAATGTGCAGGTAATTTAATAATTTAAGGACTTAAGTTGACTGAAAATTCCAGATTGCTAGACAAAATTAATTCCTTAGTGATGAGAGTGAATGGTAATTGTCTGGGGTCATCATACAGTACTTGGTGAAGTTAGTTGTGCTAAAATAGAAAATTTCACAATTGTGTTAAAATTATTAGGGAGACGTTATTTCTTCCAGGGCATAAAGTCCACATTTATTAAATTAAGACAGTTGTTGCACATTTACCCTTGAATGACAGAATTCAATCAGTACATTTACCATAAACTCACAGTCCTGGTTGGGAAACTCTTTATTCCCATTAGCAGGGAGGAAAATTGAATAGAGTGACAGGAAGCTCTTAGAAAAACCCAAGCCTCAGTTGTACAAGGAAACAGTTGTTTTTTACTGTGTCATTTATTGTATGCAAAATTTTCAGTACATTTTAAAAATAAATGAATTATAGTAGCTTTCAGTACATTTTTATTTTAAAGTGGAGATTGGACAAAAACTTAAAAAAAATGTCTAAATTGGAATCTTTCAAGTTCCATTAGTGGCTTCTCACTCTTCACCCTACCGCAGTAAAGAATTAAACTGAATTGTTTTGTTTGGTAGTTAAATAAATAATCATTTAGAAGGTCAAATGATCCCAGGCTGGGATGCAAATGGTGACAGTCTAATTATATTATGAACATATGAAACAATCTCCCTGAAGGGAGTAGGGGAGCGAATGCTGCCATAAGGAATTTTTTTGTTGTTGTTTTATTGTTTGAGGCATGGGACCCAAGATCTCTTGCATGCTAGGCAAGTGCTCTAGTACTGTACTACATCAGCAGACTGCCCTAAGTAACTTTGGAAATGAGTAAAGGCAAAAGGAACCATGTGTAAATGCTGGTTGGTAGCATTATTTCCCATAGGGTGTAGGTTAACAATTCTAATACTACTATATGTATATGGTGGAACTGAGCAATTAAGTAAATGGATTGTAGAAGATGCAAAGCAGGCTTCTCACTGTTGAAGTGGGAGGTAAGATAGCAAGGGGAAGGGGCTAAAATGCTTCATGCGGTAACTAATTAGAGTTGGAGACCACTGTGAACTCATGTTTAACAATACAGATTCAGATGATTGCATATAGAAAGTTATGGATATGTGTGGTTCCAAGGTTTAATGCACAAACATGTATTTCTTTGCTCATCAGCTGAAAGGTTCAAGAATCAGTGAGCACACTTAAGGTCCAGATCTTGATTTTTTGTTTGTTTGCTTTTTGTGACAGGAGTCTTGCTATGTAGTTCAGGCTGGCCTTGAACCCACTGTGTAGTCCAGGCTGGCCTCAGACTCGAGGCAATCTTCTTGCCTCAGCTTCCTGAGTGCTGGAATTACAGGCATGTACCACCATGACCGGCTCAGATCTTGGTTTCTGATACCTTTCTCTTTTCAATGAAAGGAATGAGAATTTCTTAGAGAAATGGCTAGGACTGGGATAGGAATATACAAGATAAGCCTGTCGGAAAGTAAGGAAGCATTCAAACAGCAGAACCAGCCACAGACAACAGAGGTATGCCAGATTAACAAGTCCCCATCTGAAACAGTTCCTAGTGGCCAAAGCTGAGCAACCAAATAGGTAAGGTACTGCTGGATGATAACCCAGCATTTAAAATAAATATCTGTGAGTCCAAATTGATATTAATAAATGATTTAATAAATAACCAAGTGCAGAAGAATAGACAAATTCACAGTGCAGAAGAGTTCCAAATAAATGATGTACATATTCCATTTGCAAGGAGGTGGAATATAACTGCACTGCTGAATTGTGAACTTACTTCCAGACAATAGAGCATGAAAAGTGGGAAAAGAATAATTTTACATTGGAGAAATCTGACAGTATTACCTTAACGAGATGGCCAAGATCAGCAACAGAGATAAGTTGTATTGATAGTATGTGTCTTTAGCCTTGATAGTAAGCACCTAACTTAGTATGAATGGTGAAAGTGGCATCTTTGTGGTCTTTCTCTCAAAAGTCTTTAACTCCAGTCTTGTTTTGACAAAAACATCAGGTAAACCCCAATTGAGGAACATTCAGCACAGTACCTGATAGTGTTCTTCAAAACTATCAGGTTGGCATATACGAGAAAGGTGTACGAGATTGTCAGTCAAGAAGACCCTAAAGAGATGTGGTGATCTTGAAACAGAAAAGGGATATTCAAGAAAAACTAAGGAAATCTGCGTCCTACACTGTGACAAGTATACTCATTTGTGACAACATACTGATAGCAAGGAAAACCGAGTATGGAGTATATGGAACTTTTTTTTTTCGTTGTTATATTACATATTGTTATCCTCAGTCATGTTGCCCAGATGTAAGAATGGAAGATTGCTCAAACCATTAAAGAGAATAAAAAATAATTATCAAATAAAACATTAGCGACAATACAGAGTTTCACTAGACAAGATGGTAGGAATTCACCAATGGTTGTTCCATTGCATATTGTTGTCTTTAAATCAGTTGCTCAGGGGGCTGGGGATTTAGCTCAGCGGCAAAGCACTTGCCTGGCAAGCGCAAGGTCGTGAGTTCGGTTCCTGGTACCGGAGAAAAACC